AAAAGAATTTTACCATCCGCGGTCGCACAGCACGATTCACAGCACGATTCACGCAGAAAAGCATTTCAGAAACCCCAACGGGTTCTGACAACCAACCCGAGGTTACCGGAGAGCAGCTGAGTGAGTCTGCCTCCCTCGTCCCCCTTCACCTCCGTTGAGTCGCCCTGCCCCAGTCGTTCACAGAGCAATAGAGCACGACCGGCGGTCTGGCTAGTCAGCCCGCAGCCACTTGATGACGCCCATGAAGTACAGGAGCGATCGCAACTCGCTGGTCTCTCCGCAAGGCCTCCCGGACCGCGTCGAATTCATCGACGCGGGCTCTCTCGGCTACGGGACCGGCCCCAGCTTCGGCTGAGGGCTGACAAGCTGCCGAGCCCAAATCACTTCTGAGAGTCGTGATTTCTCTTGTTGGGTTTCAAAAATCTCTCTCTGAAAGAAAGCAAAACAACACTCAAGGGAGGCATCACTACTCACTTTATGCAGCGCCTCGCACGCCGTCCTCGCCTGGTCGCTTTGCGGGATTGGCGCGCGGCGGAGATTCTTTATCCTGCGTTAAGTGCCACCCAGTGGCAGTGCGCGCCAGTCCCGTGCCTGTGTCGTGTCACGTGTGTAAAAATCTCCTTGTTATTGCCAAGAAAGAAAGACAGAAAACAGACGACCCAAGGCGGGATGAGAGGACGGCACGCCGCCACCACACAGCTCACAGGTCACACAGGGATTTTAAGGAGAGAAGTGTGGTGCTAGCCGTCGCCCACCCTTGGGCGTCTGCCTCTCTCTCTTCCTACCTATCTCCCTTCGCAGTCCCTCGCCGATTCTCGCTGCAAGCAACCTTCATTCATGCCACCTCGCGGTCGTCCCACTCTCGTCGTTCTCTCTCCTGCCTGTCGCTTCTTCTTTCCGTCTCTAAGTTCTGTTTTCTTTGTTTGAGATCGTTGCGCCATCAGCGCGGGGCTACTCATACGAGCTCTTGATGATCTACCTCCTCGGCGCCCTCGCGCCCGCGCTCCTCGTCCCCGCATCTCCGCCTGTGCGAGCGCGAGTCGTGCGCATGAGCGAGACCGACGCCAAGGCCGCCTGGCTCGCCAAGAACCTACCGACGTGGTCCGGCGCGGGAAAGGTCTCTGCCGACTTGGCCGAGGGGCAGGCCGTGCCGGCATGGCTCTCTGACGGCCTCGGCAAGGTCTCAACGTGGAGCCAGGCGGCGGGGGCGCTCCGGCAGGCGGCGGCCGAGTTTTCCGCCCTCGCAGAGGCGTGCGGCTCTGGCGACGACGTGGCGTGCGCGACGCTGACACGCGAGGAGGCGTCGAAACGCGCCTGGCTGGAGAGGCTCGACGCGCCGACATGGGCCAAGACGGCCTCCCCGGCGCCGCTGGCGGCGCTCTCGGAAGCCGAGGCCAAGGCCGCTTGGCTGGCGAATGCGCCATCCTGGGGCAAGGCGGCGACTGCCCTCTCGTCGGTGTGGCAGGCCGAGGCGACAGAGGTTGCGGCTTTGACGGATGCGTGCGGCTCCGGCGACGAGGCTGCGTGCGACACGCTGACGCGCGAGGAGGAGGCCAAGCGCGCCTGGCTGTCGCGCCTCGACACTCCGAACTGGGGCAGGGCGCCTGAGGCGGCAGAGCTTGCGGCAGCGCCCGCAGAGCCAGAGGCGGCACCGGCGGCGTCGGCGGCGGAGGCGGAGGCGAAGGCGAAGTGGCTGGCGAGCCTCGACGCTCCATCATGGGGCAAGGCGGCGGCGGAGCCGGCAGCTCCCGCAGGGCCGGCTGCAGAACCGGCGGCACCGGCAGCAGCAGCGGCGGCCGAGGAAGCGGCCAAGGCTCGCTGGCTGGCGAGTCTGGACGCCCCATCGTGGGGCAAGGAGGCGGCGGCTGCAACAGCCCCCGCAGAGCCGGCGGCCTCAGCGGCGGCGGCACCGGCGGAGGCGGAGGCGGAGGCGAAGGCGAAGTGGCTGTCGAGCCTCGACACTCCATCATGGG